GTTCATCTCTCAGATGGAAATGGTAAGTTATTTTTGAAAATCATAGCCTGAGATAGGGGACTTAAATTTCCTCTTCTATACTCTTTTATTTCTTAGTAGTCTCTTGGGAATCACAAAGAAATTCATTGGAAAAAAGCTATTTCTCTCCCTTTATTGAACATTCTGCCAATTACTTTATACCTGTTCACAGCTCTTAAAATTAGCTCCCTTCACACTTAATCTCTTATCAGTTCACTGGTATTCACCAGATCCACAGAGCTCTTTGAGTGCCCACTATGCATTAATTCTCCAACATGGTTATAACCATTATCTCAAAATTAACTACCCCCAATTCTAAGTATTATAATTCATCTTCCTTATAAATATATGTTGCACAAAGCTTTGTAATAATCCCCAATTTATTCCATATATAACTGGTATTAATTTTATCCCATAATATTCAAGGCTAAGAAATTTCATAATGACTCATCCTTCTAAATCAAATATCCTCCAAGGCTCTACATAACTCGCTGGCCATAAATTTAATTCAGTCAATATTGGGATTCCTTCTCATGAAACATAAAAGAAATTCTTAGTTTACATGATGTCTGAAAAATAGTCCATCATTATTTCCACCTTACTATTGCTCCTTTAGTTTCACATTGCTGTAATGAGCAGTGATGCTGACTACCCCTCAGGCAGTGGTACTCTCAAGTTTAACCAAACTCAGAGGTTCATGTCACCCTAATTCACTCCACTGACCTCCACCCTAATTCACTCCACTGACCTCCATTGATGGCAGCACACATCAATCTTCAGTCTCATCCCCAGTGTGGAATAATATTATGCTATCTGGACAAGGGTTTCTGTAGCATGCTGAAATGTCAAAGCCCCTTTGATAAATCCCAGGTAACTTCATACTCTTGGACTAGCCATAGCTTCTGCTCCCACTGAAAATTCACTTTTATTGCCTGCTTCACTGGAATAATTCAACCTAAAAAAATATATTGTGCATTTCCCTCTCAAACATGTTACTGTGGAAACTTGGATTTTTAAAAACAATGAGGATTTCTGTCTTTTAGGGAATGGAGTGAACATGGAAAGGAAAGATGCTTTATTCTTTCATTGTAAGTATCCACAACAGCAAAAAAAACCTAAGATAGCAAGCGTGAGTGTGTGTGTGTGTGTGTGTGCATACGCACACATGCACGTGTGGGCACACATGCACACATATGTGTGACAGAAAGAGAGATAGGGAGCTGGTGAGAAAGGAGGTTCTTGTTACAAATTCATTTCATGCACTTAAGTTTAGGTTCTTTTAAATTCTACAGAAAGTTTAATAAGACAGCATAAAAAAAGGTACATAAACTCTTTAAACACTTCTCCTTGATTCACTAGAACAAATATGAGAGATTAAAGATTATTTATTACCTTAATTGTTAAAATTGAATGTCCAGGGGCGCCTGAGTGGCTCAGTCATTAAGCGTCTGCCTTTGGCTCAGGTCATGATCCCAGGGTCCTGGGATCGAGCCCCGCATCGGGCTCCCTGCTCTGCAAAGAGTCTGCTTTTCCCTCTCCCACTCCCCCTGCTTGTGTTCCCTCTCTCGCTCTCTCTGTCAAATAAATAAATAAAATCTTTAAAAAAATAAAAAATTAAATCGAATGTCCCATTGAATAAATATAAGATTGAAAACAATAAAATAGAGCATATAAATTAATACAAGGAGAATTATAAAATTATACTTTTTATAATCACCAGAAAAGAAAGACACCTTTAATTTTTTGAAGAAGCATAGCGTTTGGGATTTAACCAACTCTGCATCTGTGAGACTTCAAAAATGGACCTAGTCTAGATTTATTAGGACAACCTTAACCATAAAAGGCAATCAGTCCTGTGTTCTTAGCATGGCCAGAATAATCACACACATCCTAGGCAATCAAAAGAATTAATAAAACAAATATGGGAACAGATAAAAAGAAGGATTTTCATCCTTTCTTGACTAGAAAGAAATATCACTGGTAACATCATATATAATAGAGAAGATACCAGATAATCAATGTCAGGGATTTCCTTCTCATGCATGGCACAGAAATACAGTTGTTCTAGTTTGATTAACTCCAATACTATTCTTATTACCATGTGTGTAATAGTGATGGGAATAACATATAATGATTATGTAGTTTCTCTCATTTTTTACTGACCAGAATAGATAAAATTGAACATTCAGCAAACTAAAAAGATTAAAACTTTTTTTCATCATAGCAATTCCAATGGTAATTGACTCCATCAACATTTTTTCAGTTGGTTTCTTTCATTTTTTGGTGTGAACTTTGCAGTTTTCAAGTTTCTGTTTCTAATTAAGAGTGCTTAGTGCTTTCAAATTGTCAGTTCTAAAATTCTTAAAAACATATTTGATTTACTATGGATGTCCAAATTTTCATATATGTGAGTGTGTACAAACACACATACACACACAGCATGAACAAGGAAAGAAGAAAAAGAAAGAAAGAAAGAAGGAAAGATAAAACTTAGAGTTAGAATGCAAGTTAAGATGTCCAATTGTTCACATTAGTGCTTTAGTTCACTTCAAGTGTGTATTAGTTTTGCTAATAACTTTGCCAAGTTATTTTGCAGTAATAACTTAGCCTAAAATCTTAGTGGCTTACAAAAACAAAGGTTTATTTCTCACTCTTATTATTTGTCCTTCGCAATTCACTGGGCTTTGCTTCTTACTGTCCTCATTGTAGAACCAAAACTGAAAGAATAGCCCTATTTTGTTTTCATGGCAAAGGAGGAAGAATAATATTGGAACCAATGGTGTTACATGTCTCTTTTACTCACCAATGGAACACCAATGGAACACCAAAGGAACAATGGTGTTACATGTCTCTTTTACTCATACTCCCCTGGTCAGAGCACTCACACAATCGATGGGGCACAAAACAGCAGTACAATCCTCTCTCAGGGAGGGATGTTGCAGGTCACATGGCAATGGGCAATAGTGTATTCACACACTCTCTCTGCGTACATGTGGGGGTAAACAATTAGAAATAACGAAACCTCTACTATAGAGTCCATGTCAATATTTTCTTCCTTGTAAATTCTACTAAAATGGTATTCTAGAGTAACTTAGAATGGGCCTACCTGGAATTGGTTTTATTTCATTATAAGTATATTGTTGGGGCCTCCTCGTTCTCTGTTTACTTCTAATTCAATAAAATAACATTAGAAAATGAGAGGAAGATAAGACCAATATCCGAAGTTTTAGTTAGAGAACGTATATTTAAAAACCAAACTGCGCAGGGCACCTGGGTGGCTCAGCTGGTTAAGCACCTGACTCTTGATCTCAGGGTTGTGAGTTTAAGCCCTGTGTTGAGCTTGGGGAAAAAAGCAATTTTACTAGCATTGGGCTTCATTCCAGTCAAACAGCTAACTGGAAAGGAAAAGAAAGCACCTACCAATCTGAGGAGTGTGGACAGTTCTTAGCTTTTAGGGAACAATCAGGATCCGTGCTTCCTTTTGCTGCTGGAAGGGTAAGACCTAAAGAGAAGATGGGAAGAGAGAGGAACGTCATCTCCCCTCACATATAAAGAGAAGCAGTAAGAGTAGGAGGATCAGAGCTGCTGAGGCAGGCTACGGACTTGAACGTGCTCCCCCGGTTTTTTCCTTTTCCTAAACTTGTACTTCTTTGAACCATGCCTTCTCAGGTTTTGTACTTCTTTTTCCCATGGGCTTACAAGGATCATGGTTGTGGTGGATAAAACTAATTTTATTTTTTCCCTATTCTTTCAACATAAAAGCACAAAGAGAATAATATGTTAAATTACTTTATAGTATTTAGGCTAGAAGTTTGTCAGAAAAAAAGATTAAATTAATGGAAGTAATAAAGGTACTCATTTATACATATCATCTACTTCTTCAAATTAGTATAGACATTTCAAAAACAGCTTTAAGCATATTTTATAAATAACATATACAACGATTCTGAAAAATATATAGTGTCAAATATAGACTTTCTGTAAAGACAAGACATAAGCTATTATTTGAAAATTTAGGGGCCTTTCTAAATATTGACTTATTTTAAAATTAAGAATAAACTGCAATTTAGCAGTTTTGGACACGATGCAGCTCATAGGGAATCCAAGAAATTATTTATTCATAACAAGTAAGTACTGCTCGATATAGTCAAACACATTATCTGAAACAAAACTCAAAAACTATTATTTTGTTCCATCTGTAACATTTGCTAATATGATAGGTTTAAATTCTAACTTAATTAAGATATGCTCCCTTTCAACACCATACATTTTAGAGATCTAGTTATATGGCTTATCTTTAATGTAGCCCAACTTTTAGAGAAGTCTTACTTAAAATCAAATATAATATAAAAAGAAATAGCCATCAATTTTCTTCTGCTTTATATGCATTTCAGTATCTTTAACTTTGTAAACTTATTTTAAACTGTAAAATTGGCACTTAATAATGTCAGAATTTTGATTAAATACTGTATCATATCTTTGGGTGAAAAATATAAAACTTAAGACTTGCTGGAAGGCTCTACATTATTTAATTTAATATTCATTCATCAACACTGGATTAAATCTAAATTCTCTAGGTTTAATTTTACTACAAAATAACCTAAAATTTCTTGCAATGATTTAAAGATTTTATAGCTCCCTAATGGTGAGAAAGTTTACCCTGATATCTCTGGGTAATATCAAAGATGCTAATGCCAAAGGAGTATAAGAAGCATTGCCTAGCCAGTTGAGATTTAGATACTGCTTCTTGCAAAATGAATATGGAAGAGCAGAAGAGAAATGCAGCCATCTCTTAATAGCATTGTTTAAGAGCATGTTTACATAAAATATAAAATATATGATGTGCTATAAAGAAAAGGATTTTTCTGAATCAAATGTTAATGATCCTTAAAATTGTGTAATGGATTTGCTTCATTTAGTTTACATTCTACTTTTCTTCTAAACCACTATTTTGCAATGTTTCCTCAAGAAAGTAAGCTTTGGTGCTCGCTTCGGCAGCACATATACTAAAATTGGAACGATACAGAGAAGATTAGCATGGCCCCTGCGCAAGGATGACACGCAAGAAAGTAAGCTTTGTCCTCATAATAGTACTATAGTGGATACTACCATATAAATGGCACTAGATTCTTTTTTTTTTTATTTTATTATGTTATGTTAGTCACCATACAATACATCATTAGTTTTTGATGTAGTGATCCACGATCCATTGTTTTTGTATAACACCCAGTGCTCCGTGCAGTGCGTGCCCTCTTTAATACCCATCACCGGGCTATTCCATGCCCCCACCCCCCTCCCCTCTAAACCCTGTTTGTTTCTCGGAGTCCATAGTCTCTCATGGTTCATCTCTCCCTCCGATTCCCCCCACTTCATTTTTCCCTTCCTTCTCCTAATGTCCTCCATGCTGTTCCTTATGTTCCACAAATAAGTGAAACCATATGATAATTGAATTTCTCTGCTTGACTTATTTTACTTAGCATAATCTCCTCCAGTCCCATCCATGTTGGTGTAAAAGTTGGGTATTCATCCTTTCTGATGGCTGAGTAATATTCCATTGTATATCTGGACCACATCTTCTTTATCCATTCATCTGTTGAAGGGCATCTTGACTCTTTCCACAGTTTGGCTATTGCGGACATTGCTGCTATGAACATCGGGGTGCATATGGCCCTTCTTTTCACTACATCTGTGTCTTTGGGGGTGAATACCCAGGAGTGCAATTGCTGGGTCATAGGGTAGCTCTATTTTTAAATTTTTGAGTAACCTCCACACTGTTTTCCAAAGTGGCTGTACCAACTTGCATTCCCCCGAACAGTGTAAGAGGGTTCCCCTTTCTCCACAATCTCTCCAACATTTGTTGTTTTCTTTCCCTGTCCATTTTTGCCATTCTAACTGGTGTAAGGTGGTATCTCAATGTGGTTTTGATTTGAATTTCCCTGATGGCTAATGATGATGAACATTTTTTCATGTGTCTGTTAGCCATTTGTATGTCTTCTTCAGAGAAGTGTCTTTTCATATCTTCTGCCCACTTTTTGACTTGATTATTTGTTTTTTGGCTGTTGAGTTTGAGAAGTTCTTTATAGATCTTGGATACCCAGCCCTTTATCTGTAGTGTCATTTGCAAATATCTTCTCCCATTCTGTGGATTGCCTATTTGTTTTGTTGACTGTTTCCTTTGCTGTGCAGAAGCTTTTTATCTTGATGAAGTCCCAAAAGTTCATTTTTGCTTTTGTTTCACTAGCTTTTGGAGATGTATCTTGAAAGAAGTTGCTGTGGGCGATGTCAAAGAGGTTACTGCCTAGATTCTCCTCTAGGATTTTGATGGATTCCTGTCTCACATTGAGGTCTTTCATCCACTTTGAGTTTATCTTTGTGAATGATGTTGGAGAATGGTCGAGTTTCATTCTTCTGCATGTGGCTGTCCAATTTTCCCAGCACCATTTATTGAAGAGACTGTCTTTTTTCCATTGCATGTTTTTTCCTGCTTTGTCAAAGATTATTTGACCATAGAGTTGAGGGTCCATATCTGGGTTCTCTATTCTGTTCCATTGGTCTATATGTCTGTTTTTGTGCCAGTACCATGCTGTCTTGGTGATCACAGCTTTGTAATATAGCTTGAAATCGGGCAACGTGATGCCCCCAGCTTTGTTTTTCTTTTTCAACATTTTCTTGGCAACTCAGGGTCTTTTCTGATTCCATATAAATTTTAGGATTGTTTGTTCCAGCACTTCGAAAAATGTCATTGGAATTTTGATCGGGATGACATTGAAGGTATAGATTGCTCTGGGTAGCATAGACATTTTAACAATGTTTATTCTTCCGATCCATGCGCATGGAATATTTTTCCATCTTTTTGTGTCTTCTTCAATTTCTTTCATGAGTGTTCTGTAGTTCCTAGAGTATAGATCCTTTACCTCTTTGGTTAGGTTTATTCCGAGGTATCTTATGGTTTTTGGTGCTATTGTAAATGGAATCGTTTCTCTAATTTCTCTTTCTACAGTTGCATTGTTAGTGTATAAGAAAGCAACTGATTTCTGTGCGTTGATTTTGTATCCTGCCACATTACTGAATTGCTGTGTGAGTTCTAGTAATTTGGGGGTGGTCTTTTGGGTTTTCCCCATAAAGTATCATGTCGTCTGCGAAAAGAGAGAGTTTGACTTCTTCTTTGGCAATTTGAATACCTTTTCTTTTTGTTGTCTGACTGCTGTTGCTAATACTTTGTTGAACAATAGTGGCGAGAGTGGGCATCCTTGACATGTTTCTGATCTTAAGGGAAAGGCTCTCAGCTTTTCCCCATTGAGGACGATATTCGCTGTGGGTTTTTCATAGATGGATTTTATGAACTTGAGGAATGTTCCCTCTATCCCTATACTCTAAGAGTTTTAATCAGGAAAGGATGTTGTATTTTGTCAAATGCTTTTTCTGCATCAATTGAGAGGACCATATGGTTCTTCTCCCTCCCCTTATTAATGTGTTCTATCACATTGATTGATTTGCAAATGTTGAACCACCCTTGCATCCCGGGGATAAATCCCACTTGGTTGTGGTGGATGATCCTTTTAATGTATTGTTGGATCCTATTAGCTAGGATTTTGTTGAGGATTTTGGAATCCATATTCATCAGGGATATTGGTCTGAATTCTCCTTTTTGATGGGGTCTTTGCCTGGTTTGGGGATTAAGGTAATGCTGGCCTCATAGAATGAGTTAGGAAGTTTTCCTTCTGTTTCTATTTTTTGAAACAGCTTCAGTAGAATAGGTATTATTTCTTCCTTGAATGTTTGGTAGAATTCCCCAGGGAATCCAGCAGGCCCTGGACTCTTGTTTTTTGGGAAGTTTTTGATCACTGCTTCAATCTCGTTACTGGTTATTGGCCTATTCAGGTTGTCAATTTCTTCCTGTTTCAGTCTTGGCAGCTTATAGGTTTCCAGGAAGGCCTCCATTTCATCCAGATTGCTCAGTTTATTGGCATATAGTTGTTGATAATAATTTCTAATAATTGTTTCTATTTCCTTGGTGTTAGTCATGATCTCTCCCCTTTCATTCATAATTTGGGTCCTTTCTCTTTTCTTTTGGATAAGTCTGGCCAGTGGTTTATCGATCTTATTAATTCTTTCAAAGAACCAGTTTCTAGTTTCATTGATCTGATCTACTGTGTTTCTGGTTTTTAATTCATTGATCTCTGCTCTAATTTTAATTATTTCTCTTCTAATGTGTGGCTTAGGCATCGTTTGTTGCTTTTTCTCTAGTTCTTTAAGGTGTAGAGTTAGTTGGTGAATTCGGGATTTTTCTATTTTTTTGAGTGAGGCTTGGACGGCTATGTATTTCCCCCTTAGGACTGCCTTTGCAGTATCCCATAGGTTTTGGACCAATGTGTTTTCGTTCTCATTGATTTCCATGAATTGTGTAAGTTCTTTGATTTCCTGGTTGACCCAAACATTCTTGAGCAGAGTGGTCTTTAGCTTCCAAGTGTTTGAATTTCTGCCAAACTTTTTCTTGTGATCGAGTTCCAGTTTTAAAGCACTGTGTCTGAGAATATGCAGGGAATAATCTCAGTCTTTTGCTATTGGTTGAGACCTGATCTGTGACCCAGTATGTGGTCTATTCTGGAGAAAGTTCCATGTGCACTCAAGAAGAATAAGTATTCTATTGTTTTAGAGTGGAATGTTCTGTAAATATCTATGAGGTCCATCTGGTCCAGTGTATCATTCAAAGCTCTTCTTTCCTTGTTGATTTTCTGCTTAGATGATCTGTCTATTGCTGAGAGTGGAGTATTGAGGTCTCCTACAATTAACATATTGTTATCAGTATGACTCTTTATTTTGGTTAACAGTTGGCTTATGTAGATGGCTGCTCCCATGTTGGAGGCATAGATGTTTACAATTGTTAGATCTTGTTGGATAGACCCTTTAAAAATGATATAGTGTCCTTCTGTGTCTCTAATTACAGACTTTAGTTTAAAATCTAATTTGTCTAAGAATTGCTACCCCAGCTTTCTTTTGAGGTGTGCTGGCATGGAAGATGGATCTCCATCCCTTCACTTTCAGTCTGGATGTAACTTTAGGTTCAAAATGAGCTTGTAGGCAGCATATAGATGGGTCCTGTATTTTTATCCAATCTGCAACCCTGTGCCGTTTTATGGGAGCATTTAGGCCATTCACATTGAGAGTGATTATTGAAAAATATGAATTAATTGTCATCATGTTGCCTGTGAAGACATTGTTTTTATAGATTGTCCCTGTAAATTTCTGTTGTATATCACTCTTGGGGGCTTTCTCCTTTTATAGAACCCCCCTTAATATATCTTGCAGGGCCAGCTTAGTGGTCACATATTCTTTCAGTTTCTGCCAGTCGTGGAAGTTCTGCATCTCTCCTTCCATTCTAAATGACAGCCTTGCCAGATAAAGTATTCTTGGCTGCATGTTCTTCTCGTTTAGTATCCTGAATATGTCTTGCCAGGCCTTTCTGGCTTGCCAGGTCCCTGTGGATAGGTCTGACATTATTCTGATGTTCCTCCCTCTGTATGTAAGGAACCCCTTCCCCCTAACTGCCCTTAAGATGGTCTCCTTGATTCTAAGATTTGCAAGTTTTACTATTACGTGCCGGGGTGTTGGCCTGTTTTCCTTGATCTTGGGAGGGGTCCTCTCTACCTCTAGGATGCGAATGTTTGTTTCATTCTTCAGATTAGGGAAGTTCCCAGCTATGATTTGCTCAAATACATCTTCTAGTCCTCTCTCTCCCTCCACTCCCTCCAGGATTCCAATTATTCTGACATTGGAATGCTTCATGGTGTCACTCATTTCTCTGATTCTATTTTCATGGATTCTGAGTTGTTTTTCCCTGGCCTCCTCTTTTCCCTTTTTATCTATTATATTGTCTTCCAGGTCGCTTATTCATTCTTCTGCCTCACTTACCCTAGCTGTTAGATTATCTAGATTGGATTGGATCTCATTGGTAGCATTTTTAAGTTCTGCCAATTCAGCTTTCATTTCTGCCCTTAGAGACTCTATGTTGCCATTAATTGATTTCTCCATTCTAGCCACTGTCTTCACAATTGCTAGCCTGAATTCCATCTCCAATATCTTGGTTAT